ATGTGTTAGGATGTTCAGGAACAACCCAGGAACAACCACAAGGCTTAAGCCTGTCATGAACTGGAAACTGCTGGAAAACCAGTAACACTGTCCACAGCGAAGCAAGTTTAACATCACCATGGACTGAGAGGGTGCTGGCCAAGAAAGAAGCCCAAAATCAGCACCTTCAAACCTGCCTGAAATTTGCACCTTTCCACATGAATAAGAAAAGTTTTATGATCAAACAAGGCAAAGGCTTTCAAACCTAAGAATACTGTACCAGGTGTCAAGTATGGTGGTAGCATCATGTTCGGGGGCTGTTTTGCTGCCAGTGGTACTGGTACATTGCACAATGAATGGAATAATGAAGGAGTAGGACTTACTTAGCTTTACTTTGAATTAACAGCTAAACAGATGAAACTTTAACACAGTTTTGTGTTATGCAGGAAAATGATGCCAAACGCATCAGAACTGGTTTTGGAATAGATGAAGCAGACTAACATTAAGCTTCTGGAATTAGCTTCCCAAAGTCCTGACATCACCCCCCTGGAAAATTTGTGTACAATGCTTAAAAGCTTCTTTTTTTTTTTTTGCCAAATTTAAATAAACTCCACCAATCCACCAGTTTTGCCAAGAGGAGAGCTCAAATATTCAGCCTGAATTATGCCAAAAGCATGTTGATAGCTAAGGGATATTTAATCAAATATTAGTGGGGGTTTATGTACACTTTTGGCCCTGCGTTGAGTAAAATATAGTAAAATCTTGTTTTTAAAATTCATTATAGATGTATGCTGCATAGTCATTGTACTCTGGAAAAACAACAGTTCAAAGAAGTCATTAAAGGCCCCAAAGTACCATCACATTCACGCCCATAATGAGTGTACTGTATGTTAATTTCTGACCACAACTGCAGACTTAGCCTTTAGGTTGGCTGTTTTCTGTGTTTCCAGGAGTTCTCTAAGCAAATAAATATCCCAGCTTTCTCAAGGTGTCTTATTATTCCCTTTTTAGGAATGACATTTCGTGGCTGTGTGTTACTGTGTGAGTCCCTTTGTTTATGTGTGCAGACATGTACCTGAATAGTTGGCGATTCTGCTGATATAAATGTAAGAACGCTTCACTGTGTAAGGGATGTTCTTATAAGAAATACTACCTACCTACTACCTACACTAATCCAACTAAAATCACACTTAGTCTTCCCACTCTGCAGCCATGCACACACACTTCTATAACCTTTCCTGCTGCTGTTTCCTTTCTGCTGAGAACAAATGTTCTGCTTTTGTCAGAAAGAATACTGTGTACCCTTGTTGAAGGCCACCATGGGGCAGTGCCGAGTCACAGCATGCCTCCACCTGTCTTCTTCATTATACTTTACTCACAGTTTCTGTACTGGAAAAGTGTGATGTATGTTCACGGACAGCAGTTTAAGGTAAAGTGCCTACTTGCTTGTCTTCTTTGTCTGTAGCAGAGGACAGTGCAGATGCAGAGCAGAAGGAGCACCAGAAAACCAGAGAGGGAGGCAGTTATCGCCAGCGGGACTGTGCAGTAGCCTCCTTCCTCCAACACCTCGGCGACTGAGGAGAGAAGGTCACATTGTTTAGTAAAGAAAACAAAAGCAGTGTTTCTGTTTTGTCTGCTTTTTCACATTGCAGCTCATCTGCAGATTTGCAGACTTGGTGGATAGAAAACTGTTTAATTTCCTGGTTTAATTTGTAGTACAGTCATGAGGGTGTGTGCAGAGGGAAGCTGCTCTGAGTGAAGAAATTGTTACAACAGCGAGAACAAATTGAAAAAATGCTAAGATTATAAATGCGTTTGTATTTTTAAGATGTGGGCCTCGGAGAGAGGTTTGTAACATCAGCACCCTGTGATGCAGACTCATCCAGCACTGACTTGGCAGCCCTTTTTCTGTACCGCTCTCCACATCTAAAATATCGCTCAGTGATGATTCACATGCTTCCCAATAGAGAGAAGGGGACAGATATAAAAAAATCATGGAGAACAAAGTGAGGAACACAATGAGTGAACGATTAAAAAAAGAAACAAAAAGACATGTAAAGAAAGAGAACGAAAGCAGGACAGAACAAAAAGAGGCTTGACAGACAACTCTCACTGTGCATGTGTGTGTGTGTGTGTGTGTGTGTGTGTGTGTG